TTTTGTGATGCAAACTCCATTGTCAATTTTTATTATTTCCTTGTTTAAAAGTAAACATCAACCGAACACTCAGACTTCCAATGGTCTCTATCACACACAAGGAGCAAAAAGTCTTTCCCTGGCGTCAGTTTAAACATGACAGTTATCTGGGAAAGACTTTCTGTTCACTTTGTACATTCCAAAATAGGAAACTACGTAAGACTCTGCATGATGTTTCTACTGTTACCTGAATATTGAGGATACCTCGCTCCACTTGTGGTGTAAGTGTTTTTTAAACCTTCACCAAAAGTCCCATTATGTGTAATATTATTCCTTTTACATTTTTTCCCAACTAAATGACCATAGATGATGGGAAAATTCAATTGAAATGACAATGAAAAATAAAATGTCTCCCAAATTTTTTTCTGAATCACATGGGGGCATTCTTGTTAAGGATATGTCCAAAATGAATTCAAAACTTTTTCATCTAACAAGCAGCAACAAATAGAGTGTTCAATATACATCATGCAGAAATCCCTTTCTCCTAAGAAATAAGAATTCTATACAATACTCGGAGCTTAGACATAAATGGGAACAACGTATATTCTTATTTATCATTGAAAGCCACGATAGCATTAGGTACATTTTCCAACACTCAATGCCATTTAACAATTTAAAAATAAGCAACTTTGTCCGATCAATTTGTTGAGAAACACAGCAGACTGTACAGAAAGGCACTTTAGGGAGGAAGAACAAGACAGTGCTGTGGAGGTGTGATACAAAGTTTCAAAAACATAAGAACTTCACCACTTTGTATTTTTGTATCAGAAAAGTAGGCAGCAAGCATTTGGCTTGTGGGAATAGTCCAGTTCTTAATTTTGTTAACAAAAAAAAAGGTCAAAATTTCCACTGTTTTTTTTTGTTTTTTGTTTTTTTGCCCAGTAAAGAATTTCTAGGCAGGGAGAATCGTTAAGACCAGTTTTATACAATGCTATAATAATATTTTGTCATTTCTCAAGAATTGGCTGTTGACCCAAGCGTCTGTTCTAAGTCATTGAGTGAGACAAATATAAAAGAGACAGTCATACAATGAGAGACAGATCACAAGGAAGTTCCACTTCTCGAACTTGCACAAAGAACATAAAGAAATGTTTTCCTTACTTCCTGTCGGAAAGGAATTTTTTTAAAAGAAGGTAAAAAGATAATCTCTTATACTTGTGTTCCTAGACCATGCACTACCACGTTTATCACTCTTCGCTCTATGTATAAATATAAATACTTCATTTGGAAGTATCCTGCAAACATGCCACGAATTGCAGCATTACACACGAATCCAGAGCAAATTGCTAGTCTCGCTATAGTCGAGTGCACACGGAACCTGACCACCTTCACAGTGAACTGGAAATACGTCATAGTTTACGGTCTAGGAAATAATAATTACACAAGTCTAAGCTTAAACTACATCTACATCTTCAAACCAAAGTTTCAACACATTTACCACTATCAAAATTGTCGTAAAAAGTTAAAAAGGTCTCCATATGTATAAACAAAATGATGAACGATTAAAAATAAAAAAAGAGAATACCTACTGATGATTAAATTATTTGTACACTGGTGGTATATTATCACTGACAAGAATGAAGTTTACCTCACTGACGCAAACATATTTTTCCATTAAATTAAAAAGGAAATATTTGAGCCAGTTATATGTTTTGTGAAGGAGACTTCACAAGGTGAATGATAAACAAAATAACATATCACAATGTATGTGTGGAGCAACAGTGAGAGTGGAGTTAGCGGCTGTGCTGTGTGTGTGTGTGTGTGTGTGTGTGTGTGTGTGTGTGAGAGAGAGAGAGAGAGAGGGAGAGAGAGAGAGAGGGAGAGAGAGAGAGAGAGAGAGAGAGAGAGAGAGAGAGAGAAAGTGAGAGATAGAGAGAGAGAGTGAGAGAGGGGGGTCAGTGTGAGGGCATGTGTACATGTATATTATGTGTCTGCATGTTTGTGTGGGTTTAGCTCTAGTAAGAGTTTTACGGCACTTGCAACGCAATAAGGTCATATAAGTGCCGAAGTTTAGAGGTGTTACAAGAGAGTAACAAACAGAAAAAAAGAAGGAGGGAAGATAAAGATAGGTGTTTGATAGGAAAGAAGAAGCAAACCACACCAGAGCACCCGCCAACCACCCACTGTGTGGGTTTAAATATTTGTGGAAGTGGTAGGTTTACCTGGTTAAGATAAGTAGAGAAAAGCCATAATAATAACTTTAACAATATTCTACAAAACAGCACAAATGACACTTTCCATTGTAAAACTTTTGACTGGCACACTGTTGAAAACAAAATATTTGGGCTGTTGAATTCCATATTCCATAAACACTTCAGTACATTTTTCAAGTAAGAAAGTTAATAATATTATTAGTGTGTCCATAAATTCACTGCAGTATACAATTAGACTGAAAGCAACTGACACTTGGCCAATCATGGCATCGAAAACTGAATTGCTTTTAGCCTGACTGTTTTGTAACATTACAGATTCCTTGTATAGAAGGCCTATCATGAAACATCTCAAAATTTGTGGAATATCTTTTTTCAAAAGAGAAAGACTTTTGTGCCAAGTATCGTATGTTAGAAACCAAGACAGTGGGAGCAAATTAAGTGCCAGTACGTTCTTAACACAGATTGTCTCAGCCTGATTAAAATTGTCTTCCTGAGCTAGAATTGCATTGTGATTTAATATTTTTGAAACTACAAGAAAAAACAAACCCCCCCCCCCCCCCCCCAGGATTTTGGTGCTTTCGAAAAAACACTTTGTTTTCAAGTTTGAGCCTTATATCTCCCAAAGTATGGTATATGACATTTTCTCTCTTCAATTTACATGTACCCTTCCATTTTTCTGCCTTTAAAATATTGTATCACGTCACACCATAGAGTCACGAATCCCCCATAATTCTGCCATTTTCCCCCTGTAGTCTTCATTTGGTTTAAGCCTAATAAGGTCATTCAAACTGGTGAACATACACAGTGTATAACCCACCGATCTACCCATTTAACAATCTGAATACAAAAAATTATTTTAAATGTGAAAATATCACCAGCACTTCAAAATGTCTTCACAAGCAAGACAGCTTATCTCCTTCCCAGGCGTATGATTAAGATGAATTATTGTTATTGTACAATTAAGCAATTAATTTTATACACATTTATGTAAATGACTTATTCCTTATCATGAAAAACTCATGAGTTGAAACAGTTCAGATAATAAGAGATGTGTATATCAAAACATTGAAATCTTTCACTGCTCCAGCATTATATATATATATATATCACAAAGGAATAGCTTCCATAAATATGAGTAGCTCCTACTGGTGGCAAACCACAAAACAAAAAAAACCAACCAATCAGAGAACAGAACACAGGAATAAAACAGTGATCTCATCTCTGATTCGCCTCTATTTTTTGCTGATATTATGAACAATAAATGCATTCATTTAGTTACAAATGTCTCCTTTACAAATGTCATAGACATTGAGTGTACAACCAAAAATCACAGGTGAATATGAACAGACTGGGTAAGTCATGTATGCCATAAGAAAGCATCCATGAAACTCAAAAAATGTTCTATGAATACAGTAACATGTTATTTATTTATACAAATCTATACAAACACATTGAATGCTTCAAGGAGTTGAAAGAGAACAAAATCTTGTTTGTCTAAAATATTTTTTAAAAATTAATTATGTCTACTACAAAAGGTGTTACTTTATTGTCTGTCAGAAGAAAAGTAGAAGAAAAAACAGAACACAAAAACATCACATTGTGTTGAGGCTTTTCTACCACCTCTTCTCATGAGCAAAAAAAAATCATGGGGCCAATTTCAGGTTTATTATAACATACAAGTTTATTTAATTTATTTCAATGTCTGGTCTTCTGTCAAAAGCTGGGGTGTGGGTTGTGGGGCTTTAAGAGAGGAATGAGTTAGGTTTGGGTTTACAAGTTAAGGGTAACAGTATCAAAGTCAAAGAGCAGAGACACACAATACTACTCTTGTCCATAATAACCTGAACCATCCAGATTTCTAACTGCAGCCACCGCTGGACCAGGCCATGACAAACTATCATAATCCTTATGGAAGAATTAAGTTTTTTGTAAAATATAAATATCTACATCAAACAATAAAATATTGTATTTATATACATAAAAATGTACAAAATGCTAATTTATCAGATCAGTTATACCTCCCAATAAATAAGTCAGGAATATGATTAAAAGTTTTACCTTCTTTTCTTACTACTCCTCCCCGTTGACTTAATTTAGAAAGAACCCTGACTTCAACTCAAAGTCTACAGTTCAAATGAGATGGGATAACGTTGCATAACATAAACAATGGGGAGATGTGTATCATATTGAAACAATAATTGGTCTCATACTTTTTTCCTTGTCACTATTTCTCCTGTACATGGAATATGCTGGAAACTTTACAATCCTGACTAAATACTAAAATTAGAACCCACTGACATCGGTAATTTTTATATGTACTGCATATATAGTAAAAAGTCATCAGTCTAGTCCTGTGTGAAAGCATGATGAGCAGTTCCACATATGCAAATCTGTAACATGTACACAACAAATGTATTATTGTCACACTGACATTATGATAGTCTTACATTAAACACAGAGAGCAGATAGTCTTTTCCCCCCGGGGCAGTGCCACTGACTGTAGTGTCTTTAGGTCATTCCCAAAGGGGGGGTGTAGGGCATTTCTCGTTCAAGCACAGTAGAATTGTAAATGGGCTGATTCATGTCACGCTCATAACTGTGCCTGATCTACAACAAGGAACTGCTGCTTCTTTTTTCCTGATCCTTAGTACTGTCATTTTCCACTACTTCTTTTGTATGTTTGTCACACTCTTGTGACCTGCTATTTTTGGGGTGCCTTGATAGTCGAAGCAGACCTTGTGCTGTTGAAGCTAGAGAGGTGAGCAGAGCAAGTCTCATTCCCTGTAAAGATTTCTCTGTTGACACCCACCCCTTGGCGCTCATATGACCTTATGCAATTGCAAGCGCCGTAAAACCCTCTACTATAAAAAAAAAAAGATAGTCTTTCCCGGATGTAACCTGAAACTCCACAGTAATCAGGGAATGACTTTCTGCTCACTTTGTACAGACAAAATTGTTCATTACTAGATCCTAATATCATTGTTTTCTTAATTACTCTAACAATATTGAAGCCTTTACATCAAGATACAAACCCACGTGAACTTTTTTTACAGTTAAAAGTAAACAAGTCTGCACAAAACCAGCCAAAATAAGAACAGGAAATCACTGAAAATGTGAAGTCCATTTTCCTCATCATTGTTCGGCACTCAAGTGATCCCTTGGACCAATCACAGTAAGTCTTGCTGTAATGTATTCAACATGGTGTGAACCTATACTCAGGCTTGTTTTATCTATACTTGGGAGCAGGATACTCTTGATGAAGCCAGAGTCAAAGGGTCCCTTTCTCTGTCCACTTGAAAACATACAACGTCTATTTAATAGATGTTTTAGTGGTGTAGCACATTGCTTCACTAGATCACAAGAAGACAGGCTGAATATAACTGTTCTAATTAGGGTTTAGTCTTCATTTCCTTCTTCCCCTCCCCCATCTCCCCCCTTTCCATCCCACCTTTTTCGAACTGCTTGACCACATGCACAACATCCTGGGTCCTAGTAGAGGTCAAAGTGGCATTGCAGCAAGGCATTCTAGTGTCCTTGGTTTGCAGTTTTATCTCACAGCAATAGGAAACACTGTGCTGTGATCGTTGTGGCGTGTGAAGACATGGGGCGGGGGTGGGGGGGGGACTAGGGTTTGCATTTGCCAATGAAGGTTCCCAGCAGTACACTTCAGCCATATCATTGTAATATAATGAAGAGTCTATGAGGCAGATTATGTCCTGTTTAAGGAATGCTATGAGTTGGGTGTTCTTCCTTCTCCACACAATGAAATCATTTGAAAGATGAATTCCTTTCCACACATGACATTTATCCCTGATAAGATCACGCCATACGGGTGGAAAATCATTCTCCAAACTCCTCAATCAGTCAAAGTCCTTAAACACCACTTCATTTGGGATTAGGAGCAGTCAAGTTCCCTGAAGTCCAGCACAATACATGTATTGTATCAAAAGAACAGACTTAACTGAGCTCCACCACATCACAGAGAAATTTCGCACTACATTTACAGTGTAAGAAGCTCCCAGAATTTGCATAGTCATGATTTGTCACACGCTAAAACCTTGATGTGTCATGTGCTACTAACTTGGCTTTTTACATACTATAACCATGACTTGTCACATGGTACAATCATGTCTTATTACAAGACATAACCACTGCTTTTCAAAAGTTATAACAACAGCCTGGTCGAGAAACTCAGTTGCTGTTGACACTAGCCGGTCTCTGTTTAGGACTGCCGAGAGTGGAGGAGGAGCTGGAGAGGTGGGGTCGCATGTATCTGGGCAGGGTGGCCGTTCGGGTGATCGGGTTGTACTCCAGGACCGGGCAGTTGGTCCAAAGGGTCTGTGGGAGGGGGGAAAGATTGTGTGTGTGGGGGGGGGAGGGGTAGTATGAGTTTCATGTTACTTGCAATTCAAATAGGTCATAATATATGAGCCAAAGTGTAAAGGTGTTAATTATTATGAGAGAGTAACATACAAAGAAAAGGAGGAGAGGTGAGGACGACATTTTGATAGTAAAGGAGGAAACATACCACACTAGAGCACCCACCAACCATTCACTGAAGGGGATGGAAGGAGTGAGGGAGGAGCAGAGGTTGTGGCAGTGAGATATTCCATGGAATGTTGGATGAGGTGTTTGATGAGATAATTATCTGTTTCAACACAGTTCAGTATGTCATGTCATCTACTTAATTTCATGAGTACTAATATAGCAAAACATTTGATATAGGATTAGTTTTAAAAATCCAGTTGTCTGCAGAGGTTTTAGTCCAATTTTCGCAATCACCACCATTATTTTGTAATAAGGACTCC